TGCAGCGCGATGAGCTGCGGAGGGGAGGAGGGGGTGGGGCGCGGAGGTTGGACGGTGTGTTTAACGCACAGAGAGCGCTGCGCGAGTCAGGGCTTGTTCGGGCGCAACAGAAAAATAACGGGTGACCACAAAAAAAGCACGTTTCATATGTTTGAGCTAAGCACGTCACTGACTGGCATTCAGCCTGTGATGCTTTGCCATCCAAAGGTGATCACGGTGATCAAATAGTTCTTGTTTGGGTTTTTTTCGTCGGCGCTGTAAGTTAGCGGAGTTCCCGGGTAGGTTCTGCTTGGTCTTGCACAGTGAGCGATGGTGCCCTATAAACACACGTGCTTGAGGTTCTTCGTGACTGAGGCCTTCCGCGCTAGTGGTGTTGCCGTTGGTGTGTTACTAGTTAACTGGAATCCTTGGATTAGAAACTCCCGCGGCGCCGGGAGCACGGCGTGCAGAGGGCTGAGAACAGAGATGCTTCCTTAGTTTGCGTTTAGTTTGGATAGGGAGGGTTAGAAAGTTTTCTATCCCACGTCATTTTGGTAGGGTCAGCTGGACTTAAAGAAAAGCTAATGCAGCTGTTTGATAACGGCAAAAAGGGTAATTTAAATTGTTTTCTGGTCTTCCACATAGCCCGTAAGTGGCACAGAAATGGCATCAAGAAACCCAGATCCCATAGATACGAATCTCTCAAAGGGGTGAGTACTTCTCTTGCTGTTCCCAGGCCGTTGAGCTGTTGAGGCTTAACCGTGAAAAAATCCAGTATTTGTGTTATTTTGACTGACACATTTTTTGCAGACAGGGGCTTGTGTTTCAGATGGTCGGAACCACTGTGGGTTACTGTTCCATCTTTTGCTTACCTTACATGCAGCTGTGAGATTTCTAACCCGCATGAAATCCGCCCTTGTATGTCTATAAAACCGCTTTTCAGTTATTAGCGAATTTCGTCTCTGTCCTGCTCAGGTGGGTGTCACTAACTGCTGCTTCCAGTGAAACAAACAGGTGTCCGCTGGATAGCTCTTCTCCCTTCTGAGTCCTGCTGTCTCTCCTACTTCGCTGTATCCTTCAATATTATTTTACCATCTGTACTAATCCAGAGAATTTGACTTGGAAGATGAGAGGAATTGGCGTTTCTGGACAATACGTATGAAAATGGCAGCATTTTGCTTTTTCAAGGATTAGACAAGTGATACAACGGGATCTTTTTCCACACTTGAGAGTGAAAAAAGGACATTTTGGCTTTGGGGAGAGTTGTGACTCTGTTTGCCTTGTAGCTGTGATTATCAGCTTTTGGGATGTGACATAAACGCTTGTCTTCTGCATAGGGCGGTGAGGGTTCAGTCCCGCCCCCTCCTGCGGATAGTCCGGCAGTCCCTGAGCCTGTCTCCTTGCACCAAGTGTGCATGAGTTTGTAAGGTGGCAAAATCCTGATACTCGTGCGCCAGTTAAAATGCTGCTTACAGTAAAATAGCAAAAGTTTCTCAGTGGGACAGTAGCTGACCGTTCTGAGAATTGGTCTGAGCCGTGACAGGATGCATTAGCCAGGGATTAGCTGACAAAAATGGGGGAGCTACTCTTCTCTGTGCTGGTACTTTTTTCCTTTAATGTAAAAAGGAAAGGCCTGAGGAAGTGGCATTGGTCTTTACCCAAGGATTACATGTATATGCGCTCACCTGCCAGGGTTGGTTTGTGGTACTTCAGATCCAGAATGTATTGTGACATGGAAATGAAATTTCTTGTTTACAGCTTTACTCAACTTGTCCTTTCCGTATGTTTATTGCTGGGGTTTTCGGTTTGTTTGTTTGTTTATGGAAATTAAGGAAAATAGCTAGTTAAAGGATGGTTACAGATGGCTAAAATAATTTTGTTGATGTAATAAATCAGAAAAAAACCCTGAATTAATCACAGCCAGCATTTGGGAATAATTGGAACAATCTGGAGATATATATATATATATGTTTTTACATATGTCCGTTCTACAACATGGCTTATTTTTTTCTTATTTTTATAGGTTGATCCCAAGTTTCTGAGGAACATGAGATTTGCAAAGAAACACAACAAAAAGGGGCTGAAGAAGATGCAGGCCAACAATGCCAAGCAGGCTGCTCAGCAGAAAAAGGACTGACATGGTTTAAGACAAAAGAACCAGTTTTCTTATTAGCATGCGTGTTACAGCATTTTTGTAAAAATAAAACTGGATGTAACAAAGTCTTCACCTCCCGAATTTGAGGAGAGCCCTCCAAACGTCTTGTCTGAGTTGTATTTTAGATGCTAGTCGTGCATCAAGCCTGCCTGTAGGGACCAGTGGGTGTTCTTGTTCCCTGGCAGATCAAGCCAGCCGGAGCTGTGGAGAGGTTTTGTGTTAACGCTGTCAGCCTTCGCACGCACAAAGTAAAACAGCTGCTCCCTGCTCGGTGCTGTTCTACTGTAATCGCTGGTACAGGTCGTGAGCATTCGGTAGTTCAAAGTCTGTTTTCAAGTTGTGAAACGGTTATTGAGAGAAGCTTAAAATTTGAACAAGAAACAATCTGTTTCTTTTTGTACAAATTGAAGCCAGTGTTGCCTGCACTCTTAGGTGACAGTATTCAGTACGCGTAAAATTATTTTTGATACTGGCATGCATGTTCAGAGTTCTTGCGTACCACAATTTTTATGATAGTCCCTGGTGCTGTTAGAGCAAGATGAGACTTCCAAGGGCTGTTACGTGTCTGCTGCTTTGCTGTCCAGGTTGAGGTAGTTACAGCTACGGAAATCCTGAAAAACGGGAGGGTACCGAGTGCTAGCTGTGCTGTTAGAGATCATAGCAATTGGTGTTAGAAGTGCTGTGTGGTGTATTCCAAAATACTTGAAAGTATTGAAGTGTTAGTGGAGCTACCATGGGAGTGTGTAAGGTTATAGGACTATATAAAATATCCATACTTTTCATAGTTACTGTATTATAGTGGAGGTCTTTCATGCCAGTAACTAAATACTACCTACCTGATGAAATGTGCTGACTGGTGAGACCAGAGGAGCAACATTCAAAACCCGAGAGGTGCAGTGAGAGGGCTTTGTTACTGCTGTCCTTCTGTAGATCAGGAGAGGGCTTCACTCTCCAGGTCCCACCAGCCAGCAAAGCTGGTTCAACAGGTACTTTTTTATTACTGAAATGAGCCACCTGTTAAAATGCAACAAACTGCTCCTGAAATTGCAATTCCAATGCTTGTCCACCCGGTGGTGTAAATCCATGGATTGACACAAGGGCTGGAAGTCTGCAAGTATCTTCTGACTCTGCAGTAGAGCAGCAAAACACCCGTTGGATTGAGGGGAAAAAAAAAAGCAACTGAAACGTCCCATTAATGTAATTGATTAATTTTTTTTAAGTCGTTTAGCCAATTACCAAAATGCAGTGTTATTTTGAAACAAGGTAAATATTTTGGATTCTTTATGGCTTCAATCCCAAACTCTTTTCCCAGTTCCCTCTTCTTAATTGTTTTTGACTGATGAAAAATACCACCCAGCCCTAACCAAGCAATATAAAGAGACTTGCTAACTTAAAACTCAGGAGTCAAGGACTTCTAAAGTCTGAGGGGAGTCTGCAACCC